GGTCAGGGAGCTCTCCAGGTGCTGGTTGCCCAGGTCTGGGGGCTCAGGGACCTCCGGGGTTGGGTCAGGGAGCTCTCCAGGTGCTGGTTGCCCAGGTTTGGGGGCTCAGGGACCTCCGGGGTTGGGTCAGGGAGTTCTCCAGGTGCTGGTTGCCCAGGTTTGGGGGCTCAGGGACCCCCGGCCCCGCGCAGGCCGCGCTGTTGCGATGCCGTTGCCATGGAGACGGAGGAGACAGGAAGTTGCGCGTCCTCCACCTTCCCACAAGGCCCTGCGCGGCCACGGCCAAGATGGCGGCGCTGAGCGGCGGGAAGGGATGGCTGCGAAGTGAGGGAATGGGAGCGGGAATGGGGCAGGGAAGGGGAATGGGAACGGGAAAGGGAACGGGAACGGGAAAGGGAATGGGGCAGGGAAGGGGAATGGGAACGGGAAAGGGAATGGGGCAGGGAAGGGGAATGGGAGCGGGAAAGGAAACGGGAATGGGGCAGGGAAGGGGAATAGGAATGGGAACGGGAGCGGGGCCTTGGAATGGGAATGGCAATGAGAATGGAACGGGGCTGGGAATGGCAATGGGAATAGGGCAGGGAATGGGAACGGGAATGGGGCCGGAAATGGGAGTGGGACCGGGAATGGAGCAGGGAACTAGAACGGGGCAGGGATCAGGATTGGGAATAGGGCAGAAAACTGAAATGGGAGTGGGATAGGAAGAGGCACCGGGGAACAGGGACCTGGACCCGGGCGGGGACCAGGACCGGGGCAGAGATCGGGAACGGGGCTGGGAATGGGAAGGGAGCAGGGAGTGGGGATGGGAAGGGGGCAGGGGCCAGGAATGGGAAGGATGCCCGGCTCCCCCCAGGCTGGCTGCCCGCGCTGCAGCTGCTCCGACGCGGCTCCAAGGCGGTGACGCGGCACTGGAAGGCGATGCACTTCCAGCGGCAGAAGCTGCTGGCCGTGACCGAGTACGTGCCCCCCCGGCCCGCCGTGCCCCCCCGCTGCCTCCCCGCACCCCAGGACCTCCCACAGGAGGTGAGGAGGGGCCCTGCCTGGGGTCTGCAGGGTCTGGGGAGGGGAGGGTTCCCTCGATCCCGGGATGCCAGGGACGGCCTGGCTGGAGCCGGTGTGAGACCTTCCCGGGGTGGGTAATCACCTTTTTTGGCGTGTTGTGGGTGGCTGGGAGATGCCCCATCAGGTGCTGGAAACCAGGTGGGTCCCCATCCATGGGAGCATCTCGAGATCCACAGGAACATCTCATGATCCATGGGAGCATCTTGAGACTCATGGGAACGTCTTGAGATCCATGGCAGTGTTTCGAGATCCATGGCAATGTTTCGAGATCCATGGCAGTGTTTCATGATCCATGGGAGCACTTGAGATTCATAACAGCATCTTGAGATCCATGGGGTCACCTCAAGGTCCATGGAAGCACCTTGAGATCCGTGGGAGCACCTCAAGATCCATGGGATCACCTCATGGACCATGGGAACACCTTGAGATCCATGGGAACACCTCATGGACCATGGGATCACCTTGAGATCCATGAGATCACCTCATGGACCATGGGAACACCCTGAGATCCATGAGATCACCTCATGGACCATGGGAGCACCTCGAGATCCATGGGATCACATCACGGACCATGGGAACACCCTGAGATCCATGGGATCACCTCGTGGACCATGGGAGCACCTCGAGATCCATGGGATCACCTCATGGACCGTGGGAACACCCTGAGATCCATGGGATCACCTCATGGACCGTGGGAACACCCTGAGATCCATGGGATCACCTTGAGATCCATGGGATCACCTCATGGACCATGGGAGCACCCTGAGATCCATGGGATCACCTCATGGACCATGGGAGCACCTCGAGATTCATGGGATCACCTCATGGACCATGGGATCACCTCATGGACCATGGGAGCACCTCATGGACCATGGGAGCACCTTGAGATCCATGGGATCACCTCATGGACCATGGGAACACCCTGAGATCCATGGGATCACCTCATGGACCATGGGATCACCTCATGGACCATGGGAACACCTCGAGATCCATGAGATCACCTCCCCCCTGTAGCTGTCAGGTCTCCGTGGGGGGGTCACAGCAGCCATTCCCCCTCTCCCCGTGTCCCCGTGTCCCTGTATCCCTGTATCCCTGTCTCCCCCCCTGCCCAGGAGGACGGCTACGTGCGGCTGCTGCGGCGGCAGGTGGAGCAGGCATTCCGGAGCAGCCGCATGGTGGCCGTGTGCCAGTACAATTCCATGCCGGACGAGGACGTGGTCACCATGCGCCACTACCTGCGCAAGCACAACATCGAGGTCAAGTTCGTCCTCAACGAGGTGGGCGCCGATCCCAGCGGGAAGGTAGAGGGGAGGGGGGGGAGAGGTGCATCCTGGGCCGCTCCAGGCGTCATTCCCAGGCGTTTTCCAGATTGTCCGGCCGGTGCTGGCGCAGTCCAAGTACAGGAACCTCCTCCCGCTCTTCGTGTGCCGCAACATCCTGCTGGTGAGCCCGGAGACCCGGGCCCGGGAGATGCTGCGGGTGCTGAAGGGAATTCCACAGGTCAACCTCCTGGGTGAGGGCATTCCCTGCTCCCCAGATCCCGGCGCTGGGCTCCTCCAGGGCTGGGAATGAGGGTGCACGCCGATGGATCGCTGTGAAAACGAGGGGTGGGAGCCTGAAGGAGCAAACAGTTCCTTCGTGGAATGCTCTGTTATCCCGTATCCTGCTCTTCTCCAGGCGCCTGCATCGACGACACGATCCTGAGCCGGCAGGGAGTGGAGAACTTCGCCCGGCTGCCGTCCCTGGAGGCCTCCCAGGGGCAGACGGTGGGAGCCCTGGCCCTCCTGCCCTCCCAGACCTCATCCCTGCTCCAGCGTGGGCCTTCCCTCCTCACAGCGCTCCTGGATGAGCACATCCGCCGGCTCCGGGACACGGGGGTGCCTGGGAAGCCCCCTCAGGAGCAGGGAAAAGGGAATCATTGATGCTGGGCCCTGGGATCGGCTCCTTCCCCACTGTGGGAGCCCCCCAGGGCACAGGGAATGGCTGGCACCGGGAACTGGCTGCTTCCCTGGACGTGGGACATGGTGGGAACCTGGGGAGCACCCCTCCAGCCTGGAATGTGGGAGTTCAGACTGAGGGAATTGGCTCCTTCCCCAGCTGTGGGACATGTGGGATCCCAGGGAGACCCCCCCAGACTGGGACACAGGGAATCACTGATGCTGGATCCTGGGAATCGGCTCCTCCAGCTGCAGGACACAGGGAATCACTGATGCTGGACCCCAGGAATCAGCTCCTCCAGCTGCAGGACACAGGGAATCACTGACTCTGGGCCCTGGGAATTGGCTCCTTCCCTGGCTGTGCAGGAGGGGGGAATCAGGGGTTGGAGTTTTGGTACTGGGGCAGGACTGAGGGTCCTGCAGCCCCCCAGCCCCAGCGGGGAGCCCTGGCCCTTCCCTTGGGGAATATTCCTGGGAATATTCTGAGGGTGAGATGGAAGGTCTCAGGGATTGGCCAGAGGAGGAGGAGGAGCATGGTGGGAGGGGGGGCCCACAGGAGGGTTTTGAGCACTCCAAGCCCCCTGGAATGAGGATGAGGGGGAATGTGCTGTAACACTGATCCAGTGTCGTGTCCATTAAAGTGTCCGTGTGGAGATGCCGAAGCCTCTCTGGGATTTTGGGGGGGTGTGGAGGGGGGTCCTGCTCCTCGAGAGCGTGGGGGGAGACCGGGGCTGCTTGAGGGGTCTGATGGAGCAGAGGGAAACAGAGCTGGGGGGTGGGTGAGGGAAATCCTGGGGTGGGAATGCCCTGGGACCCCCTTGGATTAATGATCCCTGGGGACCCCCTTGGATTGGTGGTCAGCCCCGAGACCTCCATGGGCTGGCCCTGGGACCTCCACGGGGTGGTGAAACCCGAGATTCCCGTGGAATGATCAGCCCCAAGACCCCCGTGGGGTGGTGACCCTCTGAGACCCCCGAGGGATGCTCAGCCCCGGGACCCCCGTGGGTTGGTGATCGCCGGGACCCCCGCGAGGTGCTGCCTCTCGCGGGAACCCCCCCACCCCTCCTGGGCCGTCCCTTTTCCCGCGGGCTGGTCCCGGGTGGGGACTCCGGGGGTCCGCGAGCGGAACTGCCCCGGTGCCGCGTGGGGACCGCGGCTCCGCCCGCGCTCGGTGTCCCGGCGATCCCGGCTGCTCCCGGCGATCCCGGCGGTTCCCGGCGATCCCGGCTGCTCCCGGCGATCCCGGCGGCTCCGGTCCTCCACGGAGCAGGGGGCAGAGCCGAGCGGCTCCGCACCGCCCTCCGTGTTCCGCTTCCTGCTGCCACCGGGCAGGATGCGACCGTCCCCCGCCGCCCGCCCGCCGCCCGCCCAGGTGAGCACCGGGGACCGGCGACCCGCCGCCCCCGGCCCCCGCCGCCCCCCGGGAGGGTGACACCGGGGATGGAGACCCCCGTGGGCACCGGCACAGCCCCGGTGCGGTGCGAGGGGTCGGTGCTGAGCTCCCGCAGCACCTGCGGGGCTGGGCAGGGGAGGGGATGGAGCTGCGGGGGAGACCCCCGGTGTCCTTCCCTGCGAGCCGGGGGGCGCGGAGCCGCGGTCGCCGGTGCCGTGGTTGTCTCTCGATGCCGTGGGTGTCTCTCGGTGCCGCAGTTACCGGTACAGCGGGTACCGGTGCCGCGGTGGTCGCCAGCACCGGGGCTTGGCCGCCCTCCCAGGATTATCCCAGGATCAGCATCAGCCGGGACACCGGGGTCCCCTGTCAGGGACAGCGCCGGGGGGGTTGGCAGGGCTGGGGGGGAAACTTCCCTGTGGCTCAGGAACCGGCAAGGGCAAAGGGAACGCTCCGCCGGGGTTTGGAGGGGTCATGTCCTGGCTGGGGGGTGCCAGGACGGACCGGGGTCGATCCCGGTCTTTGTACTGGTGTCACCCTCCGGGCTGCGCCCCCGCCGTGGGGTTGCCCCGTGGTACCCGGTCCATGGGGCGTCAGGGCTGGACTCTGAACCCGGACCGGGCGGGGGAGCCGAGATAAGGCCGGGGGGGGGGGGGGTAAAGGCTCCGTGTCACGCAGAAATTTCTGGGTGCCAGCGGCGGTGACATGCAGGACTCCCCACTCCCGGGGGGCAGAGGGACCCCCACCACCCCTCATCCCCACGAGGGCCAGGGTGGGGAGGGTGGAGAAGCCCCCCCTGAGCTCCCTGACCTGCTGTCCCCCCCCGGCAGCGGCTCCCGCCGTGAGGGCCGAACTCGGACCCCCATCCCCGCAGGACGGACAGGAGAGGGGGCTCGGCCCGGCCCCCCCTGCTCCCCAGCCATGGGCAGCCACGAGAAGGACCTGTCCTCCCCAAAAAGAGCCCTGTCCCACTCCAACAGCACCGTGTCTTCCAAGCACAGCAGTGTCCAGCAGGTTGGAAGGCTCTGGATTTGGGGGGGGGGCTCAGTGGTGCACACACGGGCTGACTGGGGGTGCTGTGAGGCCTCAGGGGGCTTCTCACTCCTTTAGGAAGGGTGGTGCAGGGGTGGCCTGTCAGCTGGGGCTGCCTGGAGGGCAAGATGGGGAGCACCCCGTCTGCCTCTGGTGCTGAGGGACCCCCACGCTGACCCCCATCCCTGCAGGGCTCAGAGAGCTGGGAGGTGGTGGAGGAGCCTCGTGCACGGGGCAGCCCAGGGCAGGAGCTGCAGAGGCACGAGGGGTACCTGCTCAAGAAGAGGAAATGGCCCCTGAAGGGCTGGCACAAGGTAACGGGCAGAGCTGGCGCCAGGAGCCGTCACCGGGCTGGTCCTGGCACGATTTGAGCCCCTGGGAAGTGGGGCTGCAGGGACTGCTCTCTGCTCCCCCCACACAACAGCCTTCCCTCTCCATCCCCAGCGGTACTTTGTGCTGGAAAACGGGATCCTGAAGTACTCCACCACCCGCCAGGACGTGAGTGTGTGCCCGGGCTGTGCCCACACAGCATCCCCGTGGGCTCAGGGCGGGGGAGACCCCCGTGGCCCCCCTGAGGAAGGGAGGTCTTCCCCCTGACAGGCGTCCCCGGGCTCCCCCAGGTCCTCAAGGGCAAACTGCACGGTGCCATCGACGTCCGTCAGTCCGTCATGTCCGTCAACAAAAAGGCACAGAGGGTCGACCTGGACACGGAGGAGAACATTTACCACCTCAAGGTGCTGCTGGGGGATGGGGTGGGGCTTCAAACAGGGTTGGTATTGTCAGGTTCTGTTCCCCCCCCCCCCCCCAACTCACCCATGTCCCCCAGATCAAGTCCCCGGAGCTCTTCTCCAGCTGGGTGAGCAGCCTCTGCACCCACCACCACGGGGAGAAGCCCTGTCCCACGGGGGGCCCCGGGGGGAGGACCCCCACCAACGCCCAGGTGGGTGACACCTCGAGGTGACAACATGAGGCGGGGTCTGGGCGAGGGGCTCCTGATGGCAATGCCCCCGTTTCCCCGCTCGCAGGGCCAGTGGACACGGATCCTGCCCTCGGGCAGTGCCCCTGCCCTGTCCACGCTCGCCAGCTCCCGGGACAAGGTGAACGCCTGGCTGAAGGACAGCGAGGGGCTGGAGCGCTGCTCAGCTGGTGAGCGGGGTGGGAAGGGGTGTACAGGGCAGGGGGGGTGCCTCCTGCCCCCTCCCTGACCCCGTGCCCCCGGCAGAGCTGTCGGAGTGCCAGGCCAAGCTGCAGGAGCTGACAGGAATGCTCCAGAACCTGGAGGCCCTGCACCGCATCCCCTCGGCCCCGCTCATCTCCGGCGGCCAGGTGAGCCGGGACAGCGGCACCTGTGGGGTCTGAGCATCCCCCCCTTTCCTGGGGAGGGTCCAGCTCCAGCCCCCTCCTCTCTCCCACAGCCCTCGGCCGCCACGGAGAGGCCGAAGAAGGGCCGGAGGACCACCAAGATCTGGTGCACCCAGAGCTTTGCCAAGGACGACACCATCGGCAGGGTGAGGGTGAGCTGGAATCCCGCCGAGCTCCGCTGCTGCCTGGGGCGTGGAGCCCCCTCCCCAGCCCCTCGCTGACCCCCGTGTCCCCCCCTCCAAGGTGGGCCGCCTGCACGGCTCCGTCCCCAACCTGTCCCGCTACCTGGAGTCCTCCCAGAGCCAGCTGCCCTTCGGCCTCCCCCCGGAGTACACCCAGCTGCAGCGGAGCTTCTGGGTGCTGGCCCAGAAAGGTGGGATGGGGCCGAGCCCTGCCGGGGGGGTCCTGGTGGGTTTTGGGGTGCTGAGACACAGCCTGAGACTCCCCATGTCCCCCGGCAGTGCACGGCTCGCTCAGCAGCGTGGTGGCCGCGCTGGTGGCCGAGAGGGCCCGTCTGGAGGAGATGAGGCGGGCGCTGGACCGGCAGGGCCCTGCCCCACGCCCCGGCAGCGCCGGCACCGCCGCGGTGAGCGACTGAGGGGGGCCGGGCAGCGCTGCCCTGCTGGGGGGGGTCTCGGGAGTGGTGCTTTTGGGGTGTGTGGGGTCTCAGCCTGGCGCTGGGCCGGTGACCCCCCTCGCTGTCAGCCCCGTCCTGGCTGGAGGGGAACATTCTGGGGGGGCCTTGGCTCAGCCTCCCCCTCCCTCCACAGCCCTCCCTGCGCCGCTTCCACTCCCTCTCCGTCTCCTCCGACACCACCCTGGATTCCTTTGCCTCGCTGCACCCCGACGAGGTCAGGGGGGCGGGATGGGGTGGGATGGGGGTCTGGGCGGCCCCCCCCGGGCCGAGGGGCTGGGCTGAGGTGGTGGCTGTGCCCACAGCCCGACGGGCTGCCCGCCAAGGGCCGGGAGCAGCAGCTCTCCAACCGCAGCATCGTCTCGCTGGCCGACTCCCACACCGAGTTCTTCGACGCCTGCGAGGTCTTCCTGTCCGCCAGCTCCTCCGAGAATGAGGTGGGGGGGCTTGGGGTGGGCTCTGCTGGTGTATGGGTTCTGCTGGTGGGGGGCTCTGTGGACCCCCCTGCCACCTCTCGCTGCTCTGGGTTCATCTCTCCCCTCTCTCTCCCCCGTCCCACCTCATCAGCCGCCCCCCCAGCTCTCTGTAGTGCCCCCAGCCCCTGTATCCCCCCCAGCCCCCCGCGGCCCCCTCGCCCCCCACGCTCGGGGTCTCTGCTCTCTCTGAGCCCGGCGGTGGGGACTGGGTGCTGCCAGACCCCCCCTCACCACTGCTCCCCCATCAGCACCACCCCCTCCCCATCCCAGCACCTCCAGCCCATCCCAGGATCCCGAGTCTCATCCCATCCTTCCGAGGGGACCCTTCCCGCTAAATCCCCTCCCCCCCTCGCCCTGGAGTACCCCCCACGCCCCCCCCCAATTCCCCCGGGACCCCCGAAGCCGCCGACGGTCCCCGCGTCTCCTCAGCCCTCGGACGACGAGTCGTGCGTCAGCGAGGCCACCACCAGCGCCTGCGAGGAGGGCACCGAGCCGGGGGGGCCGGGCCGCCCCCCGACAGGTACGGGGAGCACCGGGGAGGGGGACACCGTGGGGGGGAGACGGCTCCATCCCAGCGCCCGGTGCCCGGCAGGAGCGGAGCGTGCGGGGGCACCGCCGGAGCCGCCGCCGCCGCCGGTGGAGCTGCCGGGGCCGGACCCGCGGCGACGGAGCCGGTTGCCCGCGCCCCCCGCGCCGTCGGGGGACGTGAGCCTGTGGGGGCTCCTGAGGAGCAGCGTGGGCAAGGACCTGTCCCGCGTGGCGCTGCCCGTGCAGCTCAACGAGCCGCTGAACACGCTGCAGCGGCTCTGCGAGGAGCTGGAGTACAGCGCGCTCCTGGACCGCGCCAGCCGCGCCCGGGACCCCCGGCAGCGACTGGTGAGGGGGGGG